AATTATGTCTGCACACCTGCTGGTTTCAGTCCCAAATCAGTTTGCCAGACATGCCTAGGGAGATTTATTTCTCCTATACCTGAAAAAGCTCTTTTACCACTGAGGTTTTAAAACTCTAAATAAGCCTAAAGAAAAATAGAAGAGGATTTTTTCCTGTCTTTGCTTGATCTGTTGGTATCTCAAAGTGAACTGTGGAGTTTGCTGGGGGAGGAGGGTGTTTAGATAATATTTTAATAGCAATTTGTTTTTGCTTCAATGTGTGATAGAAATACAAGTGACAGGAGTGGGAACAGGAGAATTGCTGAATTCTGTTGGAATTTTTCCTGTGGGAATCTGTTAATGTTTTTAATTCTCTGAGAGATTTTTCTAAGGTAATCCTTTTGACATTTACATATTTTAAATGACTCTCATTAAATAAAAGCTTAACTTTTTTATATCAAATGCTGAAGTGATGATACTGAAATACCACTGCATAGAAATTCAAATGGTTTGAGGATTATTCTAATTGCAACCTAAGCAAAGTAAGATTTGTGAGGGATATTAATAGTGAATTGTTCTTTAAAACAACGTAATTTTGAAGGAAATTTAATTGTTCTGGCATTTAGCAGATGCATTTTCTTAGACAAAACCCTTTTTAGTACCTCATGTGTGGTGCACTCAGCCATTCACTAATTGAAACCCTCATTTGAGCAGTTGGGTTTCCACTCCTCACTTATGTAGCAAACATAACTTGTGCAGGAGCCCAAGGGTTTGCAGTGCACTCTGAAAAATCCTTCTCGTTGTCTGTGCCACATCAGTGTGGCTCAGTTCCTGAAGGGCGATGCTGTTACCAGCACAGGGAAAGCTGAAAGAAATAAAAGTGGAACATCTTTTTAAAAATCCAAAGAGCCTGATGGTGAGGTGTCGTCTCTCTTGCAGGTGATGCCATCTTGTAAGCAAACACTGCCATGAGCAAAATGATTCATATATTCATGTCTTTTCACTCCTTTCACTGGAGGCAGGCGGATAATAATAACACGAGGACAAACACATAGTGTAGCTCAGAAATGCCTTTAAATGAACTTTATTCTGTAGGTTGCACTTTGCTTGCTCAAGCCCTTGAGCCAGATTTTGCTCTCAGACCAGACTAAATACTAAGCAAAATCATTTAATTAAATTTGTTGCAGATATCCCCAGTTAACAAGAACAGATTGGTCTCCCTGAGGCTAGATAGAGTTAACAAGAAAATAAATGTTGTACTAATTAGAGAACTCATTTTTAGACACCTGGAGTGAAACTTTAAAAAGTCCTAGAGATGTAGGATTGAAAATTCATTTGGAAATGAGTCTTAGGCTTCTAAATCACTTAGGCACTTTTGAAAAATTTCCCCAGAGGCTTTAACCATCTCACAGTCATCATATTTAGCATGTTTGTAGCTGTCTGCTTAGCAAAGCACTGTATAACTATTATCTGTTTGAATCAGCACACCACAATGTGCTTCATTATCCCTGTAAGGTAGAGACACTGAACTACTTGGTGAGTTGAAGGCAGGCTAAGTGTCAATTTTTGAGCATGCTTGTGTGTCAACAGGAACAGATGGATGTTTTCTTGGAGTTACTAAAGTACCAGTACCCCAAATTTCCATCTCTTTGCAACCTCGTGGGACTTCCTCTAGGTACCTAACAACTTTTTATTAAATTTTGTCTTAAGTGACTTGTCCAAGCTCATGGATAAAAAAGACAGCAGAGATGAAATTTGATAGTTCAACACCTGCTGGAAGGAAAATTAGACACTAAATACTGTCACACTGCTATTCATCTGCCAGATCATGATAGGAAGTAATAAGGACTCAATACACATTAGATTCAATATCAAGTCAAATTTCCAAGTTCACATATATGATTAGCAGAAAAGAAGGAAAGAACCAGACTCTAAGGAGCAAAAAGTCCCTTCAATAGCATGCAGCTCAGAAGTATGTTTTCAGTAGATTCTTTTTTCCTGTAACTGGTCTGAGGATTTTTCTGAAATATCCTTGTAAAGACATGCATTAGTAGTGTCTGTTTCATGCCAGGTAAAACCCTTCCCACAACCACGCACACACTTGCTGTCTGTCAGCAAAAACTTCTGTGTCAGTAATTAGAAAAATGCTATTAAAAACCTGCCTTGTAATCCCAGATAGCCTCTGGGTTGCCTTAGTTCTGTTTCCTCAGTGCAGTGAGCCAGAATTGTTCCACCATGAAGTGGGACCCTGCTCCTCTGACAAACTCTTAGCTACTCTTCTGTTTATCTCGTTCTACAAAGTGTTGTTTTGAGGGCACCAGCACTCAGATGTAGTGCCCCAAAGAGGTGTCCCTTGGTGACAAAGTCCTTGGTCTGACAGGTTCATAACACTGCATATTGCAGATGGGCACTTGGGAGCTACATCTCACCGTGGGAGTGAACCTGCACATCGTGTACATCTGAAAATTTACTCCAGCCTGCCATGAGTCTGGATCATCCTACAACTTCATAAAAGAGATGAGTCAGGGCCCTAAAACACAGAGGGTATCCACTGAGCTCATTATTTTCCTACCTAATTACACAGTGCTATTGAGAGAGAACTGCACATTACGCTGAAGAATCCTGTTTCATCGCTAGCCCTAAAAGATAATTGCATCTATTTAGAACCTATAGATACCATGGTGATAACTGATCTATAAACACTCAAGGTAGACCTGCAAATGAGGTGCATTAGCAAGTGCATCCATTAAACACAATTTGAAAGCTGGTACTGAGGTGAGATGACAATGAAAAGCTGGGCTGTTTTGCTATGGAACTCATAGCTCTTGCACTCTGTTCTGGTTCTCTGCAATTCCTCTGCTGTTAACCGATTTTTGCTTACTGAATTTAGAACACTTTTTGTTTAATCTGGGGTAATGTATGCATGAGTGGGGAAAAGTGATGACAGATGACACCTGCAGTGGCAAAAGCTGCCCTTTTCTATGTAGGTTAGGTCAGAAAGGTAGAGGCAGATATACAAGTGTGGCTCGGAATGCCACAGATCAGGGATCGAACACTTTTCATGGTGAAAATATTTCTTGTAATAGACATTGTAATGCATTTTCTAATGAACTGCAAATTGTACTTCCGGTTGAATCATTTGCTCTGGTTGCCTTGTCTCAGCACAGGTCTGGAGGGTCATTTGCAACAAGTCAGAACACGGAAAATTTGTCCTCATCCTTCTCCAGTGCTTTGCACAGCTGCCTGCAAAGCTGTTAATGTGAAGGGAAATACCTGGTGAGGGGCCAGAGCAGCGAGGCCTGTGGGGATTGCACAGGCTGTCCCTGTGAGCTCATCAGGAATTGTCCTCTGCATTTCCTGTGTGGGACAGGGCAGCCTGCTCCCCCATATACCAGTCCTGCTCTGTGCTGACTCGGACCACGTTTGCTATGAAGCTGAAAACATCCATCTCTTGATCCTTTAGGGACTACAAACTCCTTGGAATAAAATGTTTAGCACAGTAGTCACTCAGTTAATATGAAGCATTGCTTTTTTTTTTTTTTTTTTCTCCAAGAAACCATGCTTAGAACCATAAATTAAAATACTCTGGAGTAATGGGATTCTTGTGTAGAAATGATCATCACTGCCATCTCATCGACATGGATGAGGGTATTGAGGCTGTCATTAGTAAATTTGCAGACGACACTAAGCTGGGAGCGTGTGTCCATCTTTTGAAAGGTAGGAGGGCTCTGCAGAGAGACCTGGAATGGTTGGATGGATGGGCAGAGTCCAATGGGAAGAAGTTTAATAAATCCAAGTGCTGAGTCCTGTATTTTAGCCACAATAAACCTCTGCAATGTTATAGGCTGGGGATTCTGTCACTGGACAGTGCCCAGGCAGAAAGGGACTTGGGGGTACTGGTGAACAGCTGGCTGAACATGAGCCAGCAGTGTGTCCTGGTGGCCAAGAAGGCCAATGGCTCCTGGCCTGTATCAGGAATGGTGTGGCCAGCAGGAGCAGGGAGGTCATTCTCCCCCTGTACTCAGCACTGGTGAGGTCACACCTTGAGTCCTGTGTTCAGTTCTGGCCCCTCAGTTTAGGGAGGATGTTGAGATGCTTGAGCACATCCAGAGGAGGCAGCGAGGCTGGTGAGGGGTTTGGAACACAAACCCCGTGAGGAATGGCTGAGGGAGCTGGGGGTGTTCAGCCTGGAGAAAAGGAGACTCAGGGGTGACCTTATCACTCTCTACAACTTCCTGAAAGGTGGCTTTAGTCAGGTGGGGTTGGTCTGTTTCTCGAGGCAGCAATGGCAGAATGAGAGGACACAACCTTAAGTTGCACCGAGGGAAATATAGGTTGGGTATTAGGAAAAAGTTTTTTACAGAAAGAGTGATCAAGTACTGGAATAGTCTGCCCAGGTGGGTGGTGGAGTCACCATCCCTGGATGTGTTTAAAAAAAGACTGGATATGGCACTCGGTGCCATGGTCTAGTTGAGGTTGGACTCGATGATGTTGAAGGTCTCTTCCAACTTGGTGATTCTGTGATTGTGTGATCCGGAATTCTTTTCAGTTGATACATTCACTGCATTGCTTTTCTGAAAAAACACAAAAGTAGTATTTTTCTGAGGAGGAAGAGGAAAGACTTAGCCGGGGGGCTAAAGCAGAGTGATAAATCGCTTGCCCACTCAAATTATGAGTGTCAAATTTCTTGTATTTTGTAGCTCTTCCCTTTAGCACAGGGAGAGCAGGTGACCAATTTGGGATTTACAAGCGTGCAAGAGGAGCGTGCGTGTGGCCAGCTCAGCACCTTGCTGGGAGAGGAATGCAGCAAAGAGCAGGTTGGACACCTGCTTCATCAGCTCACCTTGAGAGGAAATACTTCACCCTCAGCTGGGTGGCAAATAGAAAGAATGTTCAATAATGAAAATTCAGAGAGTAAAGAGGAGAAGTAAGTGTCCTGCTCAGAATATATTTAAAGTTGTCATTTCACTTTAGGCTGCCTTACCCTCTGTGATATCTGTGTCTGCTTCTCACCCCTCCAGTTCACTGCTCCAATGGCTCTGCCACCTCCAGATCCACAGTTCGTGCTCAGAGGTACCAGTGCTCCAGTCCACACTCTGCATTTTTCCTGTGGAGGCCCAGAACCTGATATCCCCCTTCTTTTCTCTGGGTAAATACACCAAGATTTCTGGCTGTGCTGAGCATCATATGACTGTTTCTTGTGGAATTTAAGTGTATTATTTTGACAAAGTGTTTCTGGGGAAAACAGCAACATTCATGGTTTTACATGATGGGTGTGTTACTTGTGCATACAGCTTCAGTTTTGGAAACAAAACAAAAACAAAACCAACAACAACAACAACAAAAAAAAGGAAAAATATCAGACTCCATGCAGCACTCACACTAAAAGCATCTCTTTCTAATGCCAGGTCTGAGAATGGGTTTATCCATGTCTGGAACCTGAAAACACACAGAGTGGACACAGCATTGGATGGCCATGGAGGAAAATCTGTCTGCTGTGTGGAGACAATGGGTGGTAAAGACAGGCTTCTCAGGTTAGCAAAGCAGGCAAAAACCAGTGAAATGATTCTTGTCTCTGTGATTGAAAGAAAAAAAAGGGGGGTGGGGACACAAAGGATTCTCTTAATTCTGGAATCACTTAAAGTTTTTCCAACACATATGGAAAAGTACTGAAGTAAAAAAAGAAAAACTCTAGAATAAAAAGGGGGGTGGAAGATACAATTAATTTATTATATATGTTATGATGTCATAACAACTTGGGACCTGAAGTGTCTTTACTGAGAACGGGTAAGGTCTTTGGGTTAAGGAAATGCACTTGGATTTGAAGTTGACAAACTTCACTGCTGTTTCCTGGGGAAGATAGAAAAAAAGAATTTATGAATAGATGGGAGAAGGAGAAAAGGGATGGAAAGAAGAGAAGAATCAGAGATGGAGAGTGGAAGACTGAAAATGAGCAAGAATGCTGAGTTTCATGCTTTTGCTTTGTTGCAAAATACCTTCTGTTCTTGTTTAGCAAGGGAAGGTCAGGAAGATTTGTGTACTTTGGATTAGACAGGTGATCTAGAGTAGATGCCAAAGTGTCTGTATGATTAGGAGGTGTTCTGACATGTTTATCTAGAGAAGACATCTCATAATATACAGTGGAACTCATTAGCATTTATATTTCTTATCTGCTTAAGTACAATTATCAACACTCTCCCCCATAAAATCATATTGAATGAGCATTGTTTGTATAATTATAGAGTTTTTCCGTACCTCTGTTTTTGCTGTGTAGTTCTAACACTTCACATAGCAGTGATGCTTTAGGACAGCATTTACCTGTATTTGATATTTCTCTCTTGTAAAGCTAAATCACAACAATTTCTTCCAGTATCACACTGTTTGTATCCCCAGTGCTATAAATGTTGTGTCAGTTTGTCAGTCAGCTGAACAGCACTGATGTTGAAGAAGTCCCAATAGTCTGTAGATTTACATCTCCTCTGTTTTAGTTTCATACTTCTTCAGGTGATACTGCTAATTAAAGTACGACATGGGTAAAGGATTTTTGATGACTCTTTGCCCAGGTGGTAACATGAGGACATGCATCTTGTGCTAGGGTAGTTTATGCACAGTGCTGCTCTGTTCCAGAGCCAGTTGGATCACATAAATCTGCAACAATTCCTGCTGTGCCCTTTGTGTGGCCTCCTCGCTTTGCCTGCCTGGGAGCTGCACAGATCCTCTGGGACGGGGCTGTGCCGAGGAGTCTGGGGGGGAGCTGCGCTCCTACCTCGGCTGCTGCTGCTGCTCTCTGGCCTTGGGTGTTTCAGCCACAGCGTCTCCTTGAGCAACCGCTGCCAGTCCCTCTCCACTGTGTCTCCACAGGTGCACAGTCCTGGGAGCCCTCTGTGCCCCGCCTGTGGCTGTGGGAAGCTGATCACTGAATAACTGTCACTTTTTGTTTATCTCTGATGAGGTCTTTGTTGCCTTGCTGTTTGTCTTTCAGCTGTCAACACATGACATTTCCATTTCATTGCTAGGGTGAACGAGTGTTACATGTGTGAATCTTTGGATACTTTTGTTTCCTTTTAAATTAGATCTAATCAATGATAAAATATAAGGGTTTTTTTTACTGTGGATATGTTCAAATGCTCATGAGACTTTATAAATATATTCTCACATATAAATAGCACAACTCAGCCTGATCAAGTCTCTCTGCACAAGGAAGCAGAACCTGTGACTGCCGTGTGTCTGACTGGCTCCCAGGCCCTCCCCCCTCCCAAGGACAGTTGAACCTCTCGGCCAGTTTCACAGGCGGCAGAAGGGTGGTGGTCTCAGGGACACTGAGCCCCCCCACATTTCATGGAACACCCAATTAACAGCCCCACAGAAGCTGCTCAAAGCTTGGTCCTTTACTGTCTGTTATGACCCAGTTCGAGTTACAGCCCTGCAGGCAGTCAGGCTTCCTCAGACTGCAGCTCATGGATAACTTGTTTTACTGTAACAGTCAGGGGCGCGACCAGAGGATCTGCTTGTGGGATTTAGCAGAGGGACGGACTTCAGTGACGGATTCTGTCTTCACGGAGCATGTGGGATTCTGCAGATGCTCTCTGTTAAAGGTGGCACAGGGACGCTGGCTAATGGCCATGGCAGGCAGAAGCCTGGAGGAGGTAGGAAGAGTCTCTTTCTCTGTGCTTGAGAGGTTGCTTTTGGTACTGAAATGACCTAGTTCAGGAGGGGAAACATCAGTGCCATTGAATTATTTGCTCAAGAGCAGGCAGCACAAGAAACCTTTGGGAGTTTTAATCACTAATTTTACTGCCACAAGGATGGCTGAATTATAGAACTCATGCTTTAATAACAAGGATACCACCCAAGATTTGTTTGACATTTAAGTATTTTCAGCTGCTGTTGATCTTTACATATAGAATTTTGAAAACTCTTCTGGTGCTGCTGGGAACAAGAGTCCTTCTGGGGAACTAGTGGTCAGCAGGTGTGTCCTCAGATGGAGGAGCTTATATTCCATCTGAAGCTGAATCGGGTTTGGTGAGAAGAGGGGAGGTGCAGGTGATTTGTAATGCAATACGTGGTCTTTCACCCCAGGCTAATTCCTTACCTGGAACTGGGGCTGGAAATAGTTGAATTACTATTGCCAGCCAGAGGTTTGCTGTGTGTGGGATAATTGCAGGGTCCGTTTCAGTTCCAATTGGGTAAATCCACATCTAATGGCACTATCGCAGCACTCAGTGACTGACAGCTTTGTTGACCACCTCCACTTCCGCTTTGTAGAAATTACAGTTTTGTTTTCTACAATGGGATGTTTGAGGACATCACACAAAAATAACACCAAATACTTGACATCAAAATACCAGAATTATGAAAGAAGAAAAAAGTGGCATAAATATGAGAAGAAATATTATAGCTAAGAGCAAATTGCTGATGAGCATAAAAGTTCACATGCTTTTCTGGACTATAGGTTGTGTAGCTTGAAACTGAAGTTTGCATATTTTATACATGAAGTAATAAGTGCCTGTATTGCAAGAAAATGTGATCTTTTTATTGCACAGAAGCTAAATACATATTTAAGTACTTTGCTGACTCACAGCCAGAATGTTCAGCCTTTTACAGAACTAGATATGCCTGTGGACACAGCCACTGCACCAGTAAATAAAACCATTTTAAGTCCCATACCTTGTTCTGATCAAACAAAGAACTCCCTCCATTTTAAAGCAGTGCTCAGTAATACTTAAGTTAAACAAAATTGACAAGTGCATTCTTGTGTCAGCCGGAGAAGTCCCGGTAATGAAGAATTAAATAATCAACTGACCCAAACAGAAGATGGTTACCCCGGTGTCGCTTACAACTCATCTCTGTTTTATTCTCATTTGTTTGCTTGGGCCCTGCAAGAGGAGAATCATTTGCAGTCTCCTGAGGTAGAAGAGTTCTACTCTGTGTGTGAACCTGTGCATTAGAACTGTGTCATGTTTCAATAAATTCACATAAGCTCCCATAATATATAGTGCTTCCAAATAGGCAGCACTGTGTGAGACAGAGTACATTTGCAGCTTATGATTAAAATTAAGACTTAATAAGTGTTTATGCTTGGCTGGTGTCCAAAAAAAGAGTAATTTTGTCTTAAAGGAGGTTCAGTCCATAAATAATGAGATCTGAACAGGCATTTATTTGTTCATGATTGCATTTAAATCACCAATTATGAGTTACATGCACTTTTCTTGCCAATTTGCCAAAAACATGTTAAAAGCTTTATTAATGTGAAAAAGAGAAAGGGTGTGTTTCCTTGTGGCCAGTTTTAGCCACCCAGGAACACTATTAACCTCAGGCAAAGGCAAATCTTTCTCCTATTAAGCAAAACCAATATAAACATGGAACTTCAAGTTTTAGGTTACAGTTGTCAAAATATGTGAAATAGTATTTATTTCTAAGGCTCAGTTGCCTTTAACGCAGACAGACTCTGGAACTGTCAGTCCAGCTCAGGCAGCAGCTCATGCCTGCCTGCCTTCTGCACAAAGCTTTTCTCATTGTTTTTCTTTGGCTTTTTCAAGCCCAACTGTAGCCCTTGTACCAGTTCATCTGTTTTTAGTCAAGGTAAAGCAAAGAAGGTTTGTTTTTTTCTTTTAACCTGCAGAAGTGCATTTATCACAGCACACTTACCCTTCTTTATTACATGAAAGTTGCAGTTTTGGTCTTGCCTAGGAGGCAATGCCTATTGGAGAGACAGTGATGAAAGAGGCAAGATGAGGGCAGGTCATCTTCATATTTATAGCCCATTTCCTGCCACAGCTAACTTGGTCATTATGTTGATAGTGAGAAAGTTGACGAGAGAAAAGCATCTTTTGTTAAAGAGTGTAGCTCCAAAGAACCAGAATTCCCAGATGATCAAACTTTAGTCTGTTCCCAGGTTTGGTCTGCAGACTGGATGGCTTTTGGCTGTAGTCACTATTCCTCAAATATGGAAAACAGTTTCCTGCTGTATTGCTCAGTGGCTTTCGAAAGCGTTCTGTGTGTTATGTGCAGTACACTGTTCTCGCAGTCCTAGAGTGCAGCTGGCTTTTGGCAGGCTGGCTGACAGCCTCTAGAAATAGGAAGATGTTCTGGCAAGCTTTGAACTAAAGGTATGGGATTGGAAAGCCATCACAGCTGCCGTGGTCTTGATTGATGGTTCCCAGAGGAGCCATATTTGTGTAATACCTCATCTCAGATGCTTAAGGAAATTCGCACGACTGGGGCTCTCCAACAGCACTGTTGGGCTCTTGCACATTCTGGAAGAGCCTAGAGTGGCTGGTGATGCTGGATTTATCAAATGTTTCAAGTTGTTTAATTTTACCACATAATGCAGACCATTGTTTATTTAATTAGAAAAGATCACCTTGGTGATTAAATATGCATGTGAGAAACAGCAGTGTTCCTGGCAGCAGGTTTTTGATACCCAACAGCTTCTGTTTCTCCAGAGTTCCAGGCTTGAGAACCAGCCCAGAGTTGAGGCACTGCCATGTCAATCAAGAGTCTCAAAGTCTTCCAGTGCCAAACTAAAAAGGCAGACTCCCCTGATCTTGCCTGCCATCATCCTGAGGTGGAAATGAGCTACTTCCTTGGCAGAGGAACAACTTGCCCAATGTTTAAAAAAAAAAGAGAAAGAAATCAAAACCACCCAGACTAGGTCCGTGATTCATTACCATTGGAGCAAGCAACAATGGAAGCTGCTCTGTAGAGAGAACAGGTGTTTAACACAGCATTGTCTGACTCTGCTTTAGACAGGGTCACACAACATTGTGTTAAAAATACCTGTGTGCAGATACCACTGCAGCCGCCTTAGCTGGCAATTACGAGGTTACAATCTGTTAGTGCAGTGAGCAGTAAATAAAAAATCCCCTTTGCGTGTATACATTGCCTGTATTTCCATGTGAGCTCTGTGTTACCACAACAGCACAGAGAGAATACAAGTGTTCACAGGTGAATACAGCCAAAAAATTAGCAACAGAGCTGGAAAAGGGGGAAAGAAAGCAGGGAGGTGTGTTCAGATTAAGCAGTCTGCAATATTATCTGTTGTGTGCACAATGTCATCCACTGTTTGAAAAGAAGGCTGTAATTAAATAGAAGAGTGGAAGAAGATGTGTTCACTCTAGCAGTTTTGTCTGGTCTTTCCTAAAACAATGCACTTCTTCAGCTAGCTGTAGATTCCCCTTACAGCTCCAACTTAGCATGCATTCCTCCATTTCCTCCAGACAGTTTTTACTGGAAGAGCTTATACTAACCTTAATCACCTTAAAAGACTTGTGTTTTTAACAGCAGAATTTTGACCTGGAGCCTGACCAACTCCTCTTGTTTTCCTGATGTCAGGTTCAGATTTTGGAGCTGCCATCCAAGACGTCAGTCTGTACCTTGAAGCCAGAGGTGGGTGCCAAGCTGGGCATGCCCATGTGTCTGAAGTTATGGCAGGTAAGGCAAGAGCGCCTGCTAATTGTGAAATGTTTTCCCTGTGATTCATTTTATATGAAGCACATGAATCTTTCTTCACTTGGATTTTGATTTATAATCAAACCAATCAAGTAATTACACTATTAAAGGGGGGAAAGATTTGTGAACATCCTTAATGTAACTTTCAGAGCTTTCCAAGCTTTAATGGAAGATTTGCAAATGCTCAAGGAAAGCTTTGTATCCTTAGGATAGATACAGGTTTTGCATCAATCAAGAGGAAAATGAGTGACTTACCAAAGCCAGTTGTTTGATATGGTTTCTCACTGCATTAAGAATGATGAGAAATGTTTGGGTTGCTTAAAAACAGTGGTTTTAATGGCAGATTCAATCCACTTCAGTGCCCTCAGGACGAGGAAACACTCCATGGACATTTCCATTCTATTCTGTTCTAATAGGAACAAAATATTTATGGTGGTACTGACTACAGACAAAAAGGTAAATAAAAGTAGTTAGTGAAAAAAAAACACATTTGGAAAATATTTAGCAAATAATGTTTATGGGCTGCCAACAGTGGGCACAAGTAATACAAAAAGGTGGCAGTAGAGGGAGGAAGGAGTTCAGGTGATTGGCTTGAAATCTCCAGAGAATTGGTGGCAAAGCTGATTCCCATGTAACCCCCTGACAACACACTGCTGCAGGTCTACAGGACCAACTGAGCTGATACCAGGCTGTAATTCCTGCAGGCTCATTGGAACATTTGTGTTGGTTTTGGTTGAAAATATTGTCAGTCAACGTTTGAGGCCTCAGTGTCTTTACCCAAGATCCTGAACTGACTGAAATCTAGAGGAATTCAGTTGCTGACTTCAGACAAAAGCCAAGTGAGGCCACAGTTGAAGTTCCATGCTGTAATTAAAAACTAGGGAAAAAAAAGAGGAAATTAAATAGGCTGATTAGGCTTTTGTTAAACAAAGTTTCTCCTAAAAATGCAATCAGTGTTCAGTGCTTGATGAAATGAATGGGTCTTTCTGTCTCCTCAACATTTTTTAATAAGATGGAGATAACCGTGGAAATGTTCAGTGTTGAAAATTTTTCTTGCCTGTATAAGAAGTCCTCTGTCTTGCCATATTTTCTACATGCATTAATATTGATATTCCTCTAGGAAGCAGAGCAGGTGCAGAGTCTTAATTTTATATTGTTTTTTATTTTGTTGCCAGTGAGGATAAAGCAGAGGACTGGGAACTGGGAGAGCTAAGTTATTCCATGCAAATGCTGACTTTGAGAACTCACCATAACTTCCTAGACTACACCAGGAAAGTATAGATAATCTCTTAGAGTCTCACAGCTGTGTTTACTCTTCTACAAATGTGTGCAACTTGGTTTAAAGGCATGAGGAAGAGGATACCCTTAAGGGAAATAATTGCATGTAGTGTACCAAGTGATGCTCTGCATTCTGTTCTGTGGTTGCACTGGAAGTGGCTCTCTGAGTAACCCTGTAACCATAAACCTGTAACCATAAATGAGAACAGGAGCTCACCCAGCTGCACCCCTTCGTGAACAGAGGCCCTCCAGGATTTCTTTGTACATGGCTGTGTTGGGCAATACTGACATACCCAGATGAGCACTCCCAGCCCAGCACTCAGGAGTTGCCTAAGAGACTATTTGATGTTGCTTATGGCACAGTAAATTAACAAGTTGAAACAGAAGCTGACAGGGAGAGCCCCATAAAGGCCTGAAGGAAGAGTGCTTAGGGTGGATGTCCAATGAGAGTCTGGGGGCTGCAGCCAGGTACCATCATATTTCTCTGCATTTCAGGGAAACAACAAACACCCCTAGCAGCAGTGGTGTGAATGAGAAACTTTACTATAGAGCAGAAGGCAACTGAGGTTAGGCTTCTCTGTTAAGCCTCATTGGCTTCTCCTAAGCAGTTGTAAAGCTTGCTGCTATTTATTTTGTTCTTTTGTGCATTTCCCCCCTTATTTTTGTAGGTTTATCCATAAAGATATTAGTTCATTCACTTTATTTTGAAAATTCATGTTCTTAAATACATTGTCCCTTCAGTTTCACACCTTCCTGCTATTACTAATTGGGTGGAGTAGGATTTGTAGGAGTAAGGATAGTCTTCCCTTAAATTTTTTGCACTCCTTGGGGAAGGCATCATATTGCATAATGGTGCAAACAAAATAATTCAACAAGAATAATACATGTTGAAACTGGAAATGCCGAGTTATTACTTTATATAAACTATTGCAATTATTCCTGTTGAGTTGACAGCAGATCACCTTTTCTTCCTTCCTTGACAGTTATCCAAATGCAACAACAAAATGCTCTGCTTAGGAAGAGCAGTGATTTATAATTTATTTTTTCTACTGAAACAGAACATGAATGGTGAGACTTCTCTCCAGCAGTGTCTGTTATTGGGAATTGAAATAAATAGGCAGTTGTGAAGCACTGCTTGGTGAGTCCAGGCTCAGATCAAGAGCTCCACTTATCTTTCAATAACTTTTATTGTTTTAGTTCATGTGCCCATTGAAATATTACACTTCATATGGTTAGGAAAGTCAGGAAGAAGTAGTGTGAGACCTATATTTCATAGGAAACAGTATTCGGGTTTTAAAACACACCAATCTTAGATCTCACTTGCAAATTACTCTTTTTCAAATCTAAAGTGCAATACCTACAGCACAATAAAGCACAGTAAAGCACAGTAAAGAATGGGTTTTTCTTGGCATTCCTGAAATGCTGAGCACTCACCTGTCCCTGTCATCTGCATAAGGGTGAGCAGTTGCTGTGGAAGCCACCATCCTGCTTGGAGTAGGGAGAGGAGCTGAGGTGTTTCACTGCCTGATGACAGCTACAACTTCTGTGAAACCTCAGCTCTGAGGGAGTCTTGAGCTCACAGAAGAGCAGCACAAATAATTGTGGGAGTTTTCCATGCTTAAACTGGGGCTTTCTTTAAACTTAAAAGTACCTATGAAATACTTTGTTTTGCTTTGAAGATTTTGCCCTTTATTAAATACAGATAAAATCTGGAATGTTCATTTTATTCTGATTTATTTTAAACATTTTTGATACCTGGTATCAAAAACCAGATATTCTCATCCAAAATACCTGATGAGCTAACATTAATTCTCATGTATCTGACTCAATATATGAATCAATGAATTCATTGCTCTGATGTTATATTATTTTAGCAAATCAAAATTTTTACAGAAAAATTGTTTGTAATTCTCAGCACTGTGAGAAACCTGCTTTGTGGGCCTTTCTAGCCAGAGCAGGCTCCCTACCTTTTTGAAGGAAAAAGGATCTTAAAGGAAGGAGGCTCCTCCAAGATCCCAGGTGTGGACAGACCCATTCAGAAGGATGATATAGGGGATTTCCTAAATTTACAAGGATTTCCCCTTGGTTTCCTTCTTTTAAGGAGCAATGTTGTTCCCTGCTCAGTGAGCTCTCTTCCTCAAACACTTTTCTAGACTGAGTAAGGCCAAGGAAGCACATGAGGCTGGTACTTGGCAGTCATGTTACTCACACCACCCATCTCTTGTTAGTTTAACTCCCCCCAGAACACAGAATAACCAGTGGGAGAACAGTCTGGACCATTAGTATCCTATGTGGTACTTTGTGAACAGTGAGCCTTTGGCCATTACAAGTTTGTATCATGACACTGACAGCCAGTGAGTTTGACTTCATTCAATAATGTGATACTGCTAAAAATTCATTCTTTATGCTCTTTATCTTAATTGAATACTGAGCAAACAAATCCTGTAGGAGCAGATAGTGTTTGGAAAGATGTGAATATCCTGTTGGATACATTTCTTAGATGTGCCTACATGAGGTGGTAATAATCCCAATGTCTATTTTGATATTTCTTCTCCTATTAAGGAAGTAACTGGCATTAACAGATGCTGATTTTTTAGTTGCTTTTCATTAGGGATTTGCATCTTCACTCTCATAACCAGGTACTGCTTACAGGATCATTAGTCTTTTGGCTGGAGCAATGATGAATATTTTCCTTAAGTGTGACATGTAATCCAGTAATGTTCCCTTCTTTGAGTTATTTCAGAGGCTTAAATAAATTAGGTGTCTGCCCAGGGTGCCCTGCCCTTTGGCCTGTGACATCATTAATCAAAATGGCTTTCAATTGGTTACAGTGGGACTCGGGGCCCGTTAACCCCTTAGTGACTGACCCAGAGGTTCAGTGTTTACCTTCAAACTCTGTGGGGTACTTGGGCAGGCAGTCCCTCTGTGCAGCCCTGCACCTGGCAGTGTGGAACTGGAATCCCTGAGCATGGCACTTCACAGTGCCCACACTACCTTGTATTGCTTGAGAGTAATTCAGCTGCTCTGTGGAATTTTTCTATGAAGTGCAAAGAAAGTTCAGACCGTGAAGTAAAGCTCCTGAAAATTTCAGGCAGGGTCTTTTCAGTTGTTATAGAGGGCAATCGTTTCGATTTTCAGAGAGAAATTTTCTCCTGTATGTGTATGCATATATTTTTTTTGATGTATGTGTGTGTTAAATATGTATAATATATATAAAATTTAGAATTTGATATGTAGATATAAAACCTGTAAGTGCATATTATCTAGTAATGCTTTCTGTAAGTGGATGGAATATCAAAATTTGACATCATCTCAACTTTTTTTCACTTCTACACCAGTCAGCATTTTAATTTATTCTCTCGGTGCTTGGACTAAAACCTACACAGGGATGGTAATTTTCTTAACAGACTATTAACTTCTCAAACAATTTTATTTTTCCTTAATCAGCCCAGCTGTGGTTCACAACCTGTGCTTCTGGCTGGCTATGAAGATGGATCAGTTGTCCTCTGGAACGTGTCAATGGGAAAAGCATTGAGCCAACTCATTTGCCACCAGGAGCCAGTGATGAGCCTTGACTTTGACTCAGAGAAGGCCAAGGGGATCTCGGGCTCATCTGAAAAGGTGCTTAGCATCTGGAGCCTCAATGAGCAACAGAACCTCCAGGTCAGGATCACTGGCCCTCTAGTGTCATTTATCCCACTTTGCACTAACAGTTTGATAGACTAAAAAAATATTTAGTCATGAAGAGGAGTTGTTGCAGATCTCTAGCTAATTAATCACAGACTGGTTAGAATGTCTGTGCTATGTGACTAGACTTAGCAAAAGATGGTGAGGATTTAAAAAAAAGAAAAAAACCCCTCTCTCACATGTTTCTGGTTTTACCAAAGTTGCAACAGTCACACAGGCCTAGCATTACTCAAGCCATTGCCTCTGTATCTTCATTTATCACATTGGTAGTATCCAGCTCTCAGAATGTCCTAAACATTATAAATGAGTTATAAAAATGAGAAACAAAGGATTGCTTTTCTAAAGGTTCTGCTTGAATGGCTATAGCGAGCTTTCCACTGTGGGAAAGACAGAAGTATTCTATTAAATACTTCACAAACAGAAAGAGCAGGAGTAGCCCAGCTAGCACCAGGAGGACATGAGGTTTAGGCACCCAGCTTCTTTTGCCACCTACAGGGCCCAGCCAGAGACACAAAATCAGGCAATTGGCTACCCCAGTTCATGTCTGTGGTACTGTGAGTGGCTGAGATAGAAGGAGGTCGTGTAATCCCCAGCTCAGGCCGTGCTAGGGAATAATAATAAATGAATACTGCTTTCATCTAGACAACTTTAGCAAGTGCTCCAACAGTGCCAAGGCATTAAGTACCATTTGGAAATGTAGATGTGGAAACAAAGTGCAAAAAGGCTCATGAAAATTAAAACGGCCGATGCACAGCCTCTCCACTGCTGGGTGCTTTACCGTTTTTAAAGTGGCAGTTGTCCCATGAACAATGGAGAGGACCTGAATCAACCCCTGTGTGCCCATGTCATCCTTGAGAAGAGATCTGCTGGATACACCAGTTGATGGGAGAACAATAATTGCTGTTCCACCTTGCAGCTTTTATGGAGATTTTTTTTTAAAGTACTACAGCAAGTTAATTCCTTTTTCTGAATGGTGCTACAGGAAGAAAACCACATGCTGGGACATCCAGTGGTGACTCATCACCTGGGGGACACTGTAAAGGTGTGGAATCTGTGAGGCATCACCACAGCACCTGCATTTCTGGGGTGGCAGGGCACTGTGTGTGGTGCAAACACATTCAACCTGGTGAAGTTTGGAGGACATGGCACTCAAGGAGGAGGCGATAAACAATACACAGTACAACACAACAATGAAAGAGGCACTCTGCACTCTGAACAAGTAGTGAAGGTCTCTTATACACAGTTGTCATGGTTTGGGTTTTTTGGTCCTGTTTGCCCTCCCCTTGCCCAGCCTCCCCCTGCTGCACCAGGTATTCTTAACTCAGCGAAGTGGAAGGAAGGTGAGCAATCCCAGTAAGAAACTTGGTATTGAGACTCGTTCTTTAAGGTCAAGGTGACAGAAATCTGACATTGTGACAGACTTCTTAAATTTTCAGATATTCTGGTGCTGGAGAGAAAGCTGTTCTTTCATATTAATTACAGCAAAACTTTTTCCCTAAAGTCAAAGAAAATATTGTTCTTTACAGCACATTTCACTTATCAGTTAACCATATGCAGGGCTACAGGTACAACTCGCAGGAGAAACAGTTGTTCACCCAAAATATTCCAAGTATTGTTTTTCACAAAGTATTCCCATTCTCAGGGGATGTAAGATTAGCTACACCTTCAGCACCTCACACTGAGAGATAGAAGGTTGCCTCAGAAGAAATTTAAATGCCAAGTATTATAAGCTACAAGCAATGTTCCTGTGCTTCATGGGAGCATGAATGCCCTAAAAAATGCATCTTTCATATGAGCACTAGAGATTGTCAAGGACATAGATTAAGTTTTTTTCCACTATTGCATTAATAATATAAACCAGATGGAGATTTTTTTTCCATGACATTCCAGGTACCTGAGGTAATGGTAGACGTTGGAAAGCCACTCAGTGGCACATTATTTTTATTCTAAAAGGTTTTAATAAGTAACCGTGGTGCACAGCTATCTGCCGTTGGAGAGGGAATGATGCAATGATGGTACTGCAGCTCTGTTTTAAGTGGCAGTGTTCCAGTGTGTCAATGAATACATGATGAAGGTAACTGCAGACTTTATTGCTATGAGGAAAGTTTGTATTGTCTTCTACAGGAAAGTTGCTGAAATCATCACTGTCAGCAAATGACAGGATTGGTTATGAGCCTTCTGATTTGGATGAGATAGTGTAATTATGTGATGATGTTTGTGCTAGAATGTAGGAGGTAAACAGCTTCTGCAGGTGAATAAACAAAGAAGAACTAAGAAATCTGATAACCACAGAAGCTTCTTTTTATATGACAAGAGAAAAAATCCTGTAAGCTGTAATGTAAGTTTTGTTGGTTCAGTTGCTGAGGCTTTTCCCCCAAATGCTGAAGCTTAGTCTGCTGCTAGTTTGGTTATTTTCCTAATAAGCAGAGGGTTTAAAGATATGCTTTGGGTGTAGATGCAAGTATCCTTGATTGTGACTGGCTGAAAGCAGTTCACCTGTTTTTACCTCTTTGTTTTCTTAATTACAAGCTGGTTTTCTGGTTAGGAAATTATGTTGGTATTTGATGGCTGTAGTTAGTGACTTACTGCAGTAAGTCCTGAGATGGCACAAATCCTGGCAGCAGGATTACACCTGGCTGCATGTACCTTGAGCAAGTTTTCTCCTTTGTGTTGCTTTTCTCTCTCACTCTTGTATTTGCAGATCATGCACAAATGCCCACTGTTCCCTCATGTTCCATAGCCAACAGGCATCACCATTACAGGCTTCCTTTTCAAGTTGTAGCTTGCTGAGGACATGCCATTTCTCCAGTTGCCCTGATTGTGCTGTATGGATCTTGCCCACATAATTGACATTAATGATGGGAGCACCACGCCCGGGATTGGTTATAGCCATTAGTTAATAATCTCAGTTACAGAGTAAGACCCATCCTACATTTGCCAGGCTGGTGATGTAAGGAATAAATCCTTCCCTTGCCAGGACATTTACACCAATAAAAATTCCACTGAGGCCATGCTGCATTAGGCTTAGTCTGGGGAGTTTGGAGCACATGTACTAACAAAAAGCATAGGTTTTACAGCAGCAGCCCCACCAAGAGGCCCCCATACAGCCTGCTATTTCTCATTAGGCTTAAGCAAAACTTGCTGCCCTCTGTTCTGAATTTGTTGTAGACACATTCTTCAGGTTGTTTTTAAAAGAGAAATGTATAGAGCATGTAAGGAGCATGTCAAGTTTCATTCAACCCTTTTACCAAACTGCACAGCACTTGCTGTTTGTGTAGCTAGCTGGGCAGTTCTTGTATAGTTGAAAAATAATTGCTTATGGCTTTGTGCCTGTAAAGTTCCAAGATACGTTCAGCTGCATCTGAAACCAACCTTGGCCAACATTTCTGGAGTTTTCTACATCCAGCATAAAGGTTAAAATTATCTGCAATAATATGTCTTTATAACCCTGTACTAGCTGTGCATCATGGAATTTCCTTCAAAGAGGAAAGCTCCTCAGGTGTGATGTGCTTTGTCTCTTCCAGCCTCAGACAAACAGTAGACACCACGCAGTGAATTAAAACAGGCACTGGATGATAAGCTTTGGATAGCTACAGACTCAGGCTTAAAGAGACAGTGGCATAATGTGTCATTTCCAGTGGTACTTATAAATAACAGCAGTTCAGGGCCAGCTTTATAAGCCAAAGGAGTTCTCCCTATTGTGACGGAAGCCGAGCTCTTCCAATACACACACACGTGTCCATATTCTGCATGTGTTTTAGAGGCAGATTGCTCACTCAGACAAGTTACCTGAGGTGAGAACAGCAAAGGTGTGTTACTTTGAGTGTTGTGCTTCAAAAGAAACTTGTGTCAGTGAAACGAAAACTTTTCTTTCCAGGGGCTATGTCCTGTGCAGCCCCAGTGCCTCCCAAAGGAAGCCAAATGCCTCCCAGTTTAATTGTGCCCCTCTGAAACCTGTGCCCCAGTAGTCTCCAAACAGTAACAAAAGGCTTCCAAGACTGAAATCAATAACTTGGCCATAATCTCCTCCTTGGATTTGGTGTAAATAGAAGTCTCTTGGGAAGGAGTACTAGAAATACAGATTTCCTGACACTGTAACCCAATTCCTGGAAGCATTCCTTTCTCAAGACTGAGGTAAATGTTACAACAGCTTATTGAGGGTTTTGTGAGGAGCCACAGTAGTAGAAGTGAGTAGCAGGTAGCTTAACCATCAGCTCAGAAGGGTCTCAGCCTGGGAACATTGCAGAAGCAGGGAAAATATATGGCCTTAGCTCTGAACGTTGCAGCTCACACAAGAATGGCTGGAAAAAAAAGGCAAAGCTGTGCCCAAATCCTCGATTTAGAACTTCACTTGTGGCAGAACAGATATAGCTTTAAATGCAAAATAAACTAAAAGCATACAGGAGTTGGGTTTATTTTGTGAAAATTGCTCTGGAGATGGGAGGCTCAAGTTAAGGTGTTTTCTGTCTCTGTCTATCATTGTTTTCACCAAGCACCATCCACCACATGGTGAAAAGCTCCATGCTCCCTGTGTGACACTGGTGTGTTGGGTGGGCACAACACCTGCTAAAGTATCAAAAGATTCCTTTGTCTTCTGTTTTGAACAATTAGAGCTCATTTGTAACTTTTTCACAAAGGTTTACAAAACACACGAACTTGTCAACGCTGGCATATCTGATATCACCATCCGTCCAGACAAGAAGATTTTGGCAACAGCAGGGTGGGATCATCGCATCAGGATCTTTGGGTGGAAAAAGCTGAAGCCCTTAGCAGTGCTGGACTATCACACAGCAACCGTGCACTGCGTGTCCTTCTCAGATCACAGCGACCCCCGCGAGAGGCTGCTGGCAGCCGGCTCCAAGGATCAGCGCATCAGTGTCTGGTCCATATATGCTCAGACGTGACACATCCTGCACTGCCACGGACTAGGAAATCAGGACTGCTGAAGCAATTCCTAGTACTGTAATTCAAACGTGCATGTGGAGAAATGGTAGAATCTGTCTCCAGGCTGAAGTGAGAGTCCTAGGTTAATTCTTATGCTGCTTGTTTAAGCTATAAGTTTTGTCTTCCATAGAGGAAAGTGGATTTTTAAAATTCATAACAAGCAGAACAAGGCCACTCACAAACAAAGACCAAAGTTACTTTGGGTTCTGCTACAGGTTTTGCAACACCTTTCCTTTGGCAGGTTGCTGACATAACTTGTGCCAATATCTTTTGTAAAAAAGGACTGGAATCCCTCAAACTGCAGTGGGGGCAGAATATGTCTGTTTGTAAGTCATTTATGTATCCAAGAATCTGAATCAGTGTAAAACATCACTCTTTCTTGAAAATTTATACCATTAAACCACCTCCAGTGGTTTCTCATTGTCAGTTACTTTTTCTTCCCCGCAACTGAAAGGCTATAAGAACACCCTTGATTTGTTCACACTTCTGTCAGTTTCTAACTTAAACCAACAGCCAGGAATGTGACTAGGGATGGCCTTCGGCATTTATGAATTTCATTATGTCTGCTGTCACCTCAAGCCTCACAATTAATCACAAGAAAGAAAGGGAAAAAATCTTCCCCAGCATTGCACTGCAAAGCTATGTAAAGCCTTTTACAGAGCCAGTGCTAAATCCTTTCCATAGACTGATGAGCTGAAGGATTTAAACTCAGCAATCCAATTAGCGCCCTTCTCCTTGGAGAGTTAGGGCTAAGTTTCAGCGTGGCAAGCCTGCGATTCAGCTGCACAACTCCCATTAACATTTAGGGGAATCACATGGGTAAAACCTTATCCACACAGTGCAAATGGTTCCATTAACTTGTCATCTCTACAGTCATGGAAGCTGAAAATCATTCATGAAAGTTTTTTTGGTTTGACTCATGAAGCAACATTTGCATTCTTCTCAAACATACTAGACACACACCAGTGTGCTGAGAGCCAAGGTACTGCTAGATTTGGTCACAAAGCTGCAGTGACAACTGTGTCCAGGCTGTGCACTGTTGATACGTTATTGGAAATAATTGTTTCTGCTCTGTAGAGAGGTGGAAATCAAAGAAAAAGTGACCAAAAGTGAACAGCAACATCAAAGACTTTAGAAATTATTTCAGGAAAATCTTACATGCAAATTAAAGTCTAGGTCTGTTACCCAGCTGTGCCTTGCAGACAGAGAATATTGCTGGACTGAAAGCCTTAAGCACCCAGCCTGATGTTCTTTACATTAAAACACAGAACCAGGATACTGTTGCCAGGCTTTTCTAAATAAAATGTGGCCTTACACATTTTAGAGTGTGGTGACACTTTAAATAATGCATTTCTTTGATTATTTCTTTACTATTCAGTAGCTGCATGGAGGATCACATTGCAGTTGAAAGTTAAAGCCTAATTTTGAGTGATCCCGAGTCAAGGGGAGGTGATGGTGTTCATTACATCTACCAGACAGAGTTGCACATCTCCACCCATCATCCACCTCCCACACAGAAGAGGAGCTGCCCCCACTGTACAAGCAGCTCTAGCCTCAGTCTTGTGGAATGAGATGCAGTCACTCTCCACAAACCTGCTGCTGGAAGAAACCTTTTCTTTTGTTCTTTTTCCCCCTTCTCAAAGTAGGTCAGAATTGCACAGAGAAACAATGAAATAAATAAATGGGAAAAGTGTTGTTGCACACGGTTCAGGGGCCTGTCCTAGGGAGTTTGCACAGACATTTCCTTTTGCCTGTGCTGTCTGGTTCAACACTACACATGTGGCCCAGAGGGTGCCAGCATTCCTCCATGGCAGCAATCAGCAGCCTGCACTGTTGGGCAGTTTCCACAGAACGGAGCTTTAGGTTTAGTGCTCATCCTGCAGGAAAGGAAATCCAGGGTTCACCCATCTTGGGCAAATGGTTAGTGTAGGGAACAATTTTTGATGCAAATACTTTGGCGTTGGCACAGTGGCACCCCTCTGGAAAGAAGGATTAATAATACCCCATGCCTTATTAAGAGCATTATTAGATCAGAGCCTGAAAGTTAGGAATTCTTGAGTATATTTTCTCTAAAAATTGCCATTTACTGTCAACATCTGTGTCTAAAGTAATTAGGGAGACTCATAAAGGATGCTTAGATTTACGAATGGGTCTTTTGGAAGATACTCTAAAGATTACTGGGTGCTTACATCTAACTTACTGCCTTTTGCTGGGAGTTAGATATTTAAGTTTGTCTGATTAGGTAGATTTAAAAACAAATTTAGTCATGCAAGTACAAATTGAAAATGAGGACATGAACTGCATCTCAGACACACAGCTGAGAGTTTCATCAGTTTCAGGAGGAAGGACACAGCTTGCAGGGCTGCTTGCAGGAACAGACCAGTCCTTTACTTCTCATTACCAAAGCACTATCCATGCCATGCTTCTTCACAATACAATTAATGCATGAACTTTGTATCACTACTGATTTTATTTAAACACTCAGTAAACTGATTTTCCTTTCATGTTATAGTTTCCTTGAAATGAGCAACCAGACTACACCAGTTTGAATTAGAGTTGAGCCTAAATGCCATAGTTTGATTGTGAATTGCAGTCTTCTAGCAGTTTATTTGCCTAAGGAACTAACCTGGACTTCCTTGAAGAAGAATGGTTTCCAGCAAGAAAGACAATCCGTATTAGTATAGGCTGTAAAACACAATTGTCTGATTATAACAGTAAAATACAGATTTCTGGTTGCATCTAAGAAATTAACATTTTTTAATTTAATGAAACTAAATTTACAATTGTGCCATGAGCATGGTTGTCACTCAAGATTTCTGGTGACTTGCTAGCAGAAGGTTGTGAACGAAGAGCCACCTTAAGGTGCTGGAGTTAACTCTGAAACCTCACCTGCCAGAAAGGAACAGGGCTAGCCTGTACCTGGCCTAGAGGATTCAGGAGTGAAGGTGATGACAGCTAAATTATTACAAAAGGCTTCCTCCCAGGAATCACCGTCTTTGGCACCATGAGAGGGAAGAAAGCAACCGACATTCGTAAAGTAATAGAAATAAATTCCAAACACCAGCATTCGTGCAGCAATTACATGGAATATTTATCACCACTGGAATGAATGGTGATCTCTGACCCTCTAACATTATTTGCAAATGAATCCATTAGTTACAACTCCTTGCTCTTATCAGTACATGAGCCACAAAGCACTGCAGTCCTTAGTGTAGAGGAGCAAGGAGAGAGGAGATTTATTGTGTTTGTAGTAATGAGTGAAAAAGGAAGTAAGCTGGGGGCATGCAATGAGACAGTTGTTAAATTTAGTTCTTTAGAATGCAATTGCTACAGCAAGCCAGAAAATTACTCTGCAGCTTGACTTGGACTGTTGCAAAGGTTTGAGTTTAAAAGAGCAGATTTTTATAGCTAAGTCAATACTGGCTTCTGGACTGCTTTTGTTTTTAGCATATTTAAGATGCATCTACAAAGCCAACTTGCAAATTAATAAATCTTTCCTTTAATTCAATCTGCCAAGAACAAAGAACACTGACTACTGCAGGAGCCATGTTAGTGATGTAAACCAAAGGACTGGGGATTAAACAAGGATTACTAGTGCTAAATCAATGTGTTTCCTTCTCTGGCTGTGTGTCTGTGGTGTGAAAGTGTGGATCATTACATAAAACATGCCACATGACTGCCTGGATTAATACTAGACAATGTTACAGCAGTGCTGAGACACAAAGTTTGATGTTTAAGCATGACCATTGTGCTACCAGGAAAGTGACAGCCATGACTAAGGAAAAAGGCAGCAGGGTTTCTGCTAAAGCATAATATTCTGAAATTCCAGCCTAGGTCCCCCTACTATAGCTTTTCCAAGTAAACTTGGCTGTGTTTGTCTATGTCCTACTCTTCTGGGGCATGCTGGGAGTTTCTTTTATAATATGAAGGAAGCTATCCAGAATTAAGATCATAGTTAGGAGGAGTTGGCAATTCATGTAAGGACCTCACAGTATCAAATTAAATTAAAATACAATCTCTCAGTTGGAAAAGTTTTGCTCACCTGATTAGTGGTCTGAACTACAGATGTACCTCCTATCAGCAGTGCTGTGTACTGCTTTATTCTGACCTCAGAGGAATTTGATTTGCAGTTTGGCTTGTAAGAGGAGGAGAAAGAGGAAGGGAGGGGGTATATCAAAACAAAGGAGCAACTTGTCCCTCTGAGTTAGGTGATAGGAAGACTCTGGAAGGTATTGAAAGGCCTTGGAGCAAACCACCAGCCAGATTCTCCATGGGAGAGGGACAAGGATGGCAGGAAGAATTATACCGTGATAGGTCAGGCCTCTGAAACTCAAACTTATTTTTGTCTCAGACATATTTGCTTTTACTTCTCCAGCATCCTTTTTGAAAGGTCTCAGTACTCTCAGAAATCCTGTAGACCACAGTCTACACCTCTAAATAAGCGTGTGCTCACCCACAGAAGAATGTATTTATTTCTGTGCTCTGAAGAGTCATAAAACCAGAAGCTGCAGTGCCACAGGGGATAGCAGCGGGAAGGACTGAGGTCCTGAAGCAGCCACGTGCACTGCAGGAGAACCACTCCGGAGTATTAATTATCTCCTCAGAGGAGAGTGACATGGCAGTGAAAAAAATATTCTAATAATTCTCTGTTACAATTTGAGTTTGTAATTATTAAAAAAACTAAAAGGAATTTTAAAAACTGTTAAATTTACTTGAGATTACAGCTAGGTGCTGTTTCCTTCTAGTTTTTATTCTCAGTATACATAAACTAGGGCAGCAAAAAAACATAGAAATCCTCAGATGCTTTCTGGACAGCAATGATCTCTCTTTCCTACCAGTGGCAGGACTGATTGAGCCTGATTATGTCCAGATCAGGAAATCTAGCCAGGATGTTCAAATGCTGAACCATTATTCTGCTCCATAGCTCTGGCACCTCACACATGCAAAAGTACATTTTCCAGGCCCCCATGGCACTGCTTGCTATAAACATGTTCTGACACAGGTAAGAAGGCAGCGGGTGCACTGGGCCTATGGAATAACTTTTCACATGACAGAGAATGTGGCTGTGGCATTTGTCCTGATGGTAATTTTAAAAGTTGCTGATATGAAATCTCAGTGATTCATGGATGTATTGTCTGTGTTCATGGAAAAGCATCTAGGCTGCTCTTAACACTTAGAGTAAGTATTGTCAGTTCAGATTTTTTTGCCTCAGATATTTTGATGGCATGCAGACTTGGCATCCTGCTAAATAGAGACATCGAGTCTTTATAGTTTTATCTCTTGAGCCCATCTGGTTTGAAGTAGTTGACAACAAGCAGGAAAGGGAATAGAATGAAAGACTCACTTCATGTTTGCTGAAATAAAAGAAATGTGCAAGGCAGTGCTCAAATAGAACCAGCCTGGGAGGAGAGCCAC